AATTGTGGTAGTTCATTCTTCAAACTGTTATTAATATGAAGATGTTAAAATATAACTGAACTAGAGTACAGTAGAATCCATTTCTTTGCTTCAGTGTTGCAATGGTCTTTGTGTTTCTTATGTATAGAAGAGGTGATATGCAACCACTGCTGAATGTACAATATTGGAAGACAGTCCATCAATGGAAATTTTTTGTAAATGTTTGGGCAGCATCACTAGGACTGTACTAATTCAGTCTATTTCTTCAGGGACTTTTAACTCTTTTGATTTCATTTTTCTGTCTTACACATTTATATGAACCTCTTCTCTACTAAGTTGAACACTTTCCCATTGGTCCAGAAGACTGGTTGCATTTACATTGGATCCCAAAAGTATTGCTGCTTCGGTAGGCTATGGATAGTTGAGACAGATAGATGTATTGCTTCTGTCTTTGAACTGGATTTGGAATTTTATCCTTAATACCTCAGTGCTACAACAGGTTCAATAGCAAAGCAAATGTGAATAGAGACCAGATTTTTCACAGGCATGTTCTTTCTCAAACACTCTTCTAAACCTGTACAATAGCTTCTGCAAGGGTCATCCTTATTTGTGAAACAATCATCTGCAGCCTACAATCTGAAAATGAAGCTATTTCCTGAGAACCTTTTCAGCAGTAAGGCAAGTTGGTCACCTAGACAAGCAGATGAAGCCAATGAATTCATGTACATCAGGGGAGTTAGAAGCCTTCTCTGCAAATGGTAAGTCTAACAAAAATGGCATTGCCACAGAAAATTCCCCAGGCAAAGCCCCTATGTGATACCTCAAGACCTTTCAGTAAGGTACAGCTGAAAGAGCTACAGAGCACCCCTTTTCAGTGGAAGTTCAAGCCACAAAATTCTGATCTAACTTGAATTTAGATTATGATTTGCTTCAAAACAAAATGCTGTTGAGATCTTGGTTATTCCTCATGCTCTCCTCAGGTGTTGTCTTAGAATATAAGTCCGGGTGAGAGGATATATATGTTTGATGTACGTAAATTAATCAGTAGTTTGAACAGTCTCAAAAAGTATCAGATTTAGGCATATTCTTAGGCACACTTTTGAATCTGAAACACTTTGACCAAACTCAGCAAACAGAAGGTTTGGCAACACTGAGGAGTGGAGGTATGAACAAAATGAGCTGATCCTACAATTGATGTGTTGTGTGTTGAATGCTGCCTGAAAACGCAAGAGCAGTGACATTCTGTACAGAACTTCAGTGTCTATCCTGTGTGTGCTGGACCTTGGAAATTGACTATGTATTGTTGGAGCAGAAGATACAAAAATAAAGTGCTCAAGTTGGATGCATTAAATTTCTATAATTACAAATTGTCTGTTAAAATTACAAGGCACATGGCAAGCCAATTAAACTTTACGGATGGAGAGCATATTGGCAATGATTTACAATTAACTACCACATTGCAAATCACTCCTTGGCTGTTTTCTATTATGAAATGCATTTGTGCTACTTTATTTCCTTTTGAAATGGTAATTACTGCTGCTAAGGGGCAGTAGTTAGTGCAGAAAATGAAGTGTGCAGCACAGGGAGGAACTTGTTTCTGAGGAACTGCTGAGGAATTGTAATGATATGAAAAAAGTGCTTTCCTGACACACATGCACACAAAAGAGGTTCATTTATGAAACTCGAACCAAATAAATAACAAAATAAAGTAAACCACAGCCTTTTTGTGCAAGGGACATTGTTCACTTCTTTGTTGCTGACTGTGCTTTTTTTTTTTGCAATCAAAGTAGGACTAGTGGATTGACACTGGGAAAAACTCATAAGCCAGTGGCTTGAGGGAAACGCACGTGTATGGTAATGTGATAAGAATGCCCTAGGGTAACAGGTGTGAGCTGATGTGTTTGAAAATTATCGAGTGTGCTTCTAACTACTAGCCCATTTTAGATACCTAGGATTGAACAAAAAATGGTACGGCCCTGGAGAGCTAGATTAAGTTTGACTTTTATATCTGAGGAGCAGAGGCTGTGCACTCTGAGTGGAGAGAGCAGGTATGCTCTAATTAAGTGGTGGTAAGCTCCCCCCTGACAGCTTCTCTCTTGACTGTGACTGTAAAAAGGACTGTGTTTATGAGTAACTTTTATGGAGGAATATATTAAGGTAAGCAAGGAATGAGGCTTCTAGGGTCTCCAATTTGGTAACTTGTGATAATCATGATCTCTCAGGTAATAAAATAGGCTATCTAGCTCCGGACCTCAGTTTAAAGTTAATATATTTGAAAACAAGGTGATTGACTGTAATTTTGCTCATAGTGCTCTGCTGGTAGCTGTAAGTAAAAACATATACAGCACTTTTTATCAGAGGTGTCAGAGTGCTTTCCACACTTGAATCAATTAATTTCTGTAATGGTTATTTCCTTCCTCCTACTGGAGGAACTGAAAGTATTGGGGCAGCAGCCAGCAAGTATGTAGCATTTAGTGAAGCAGCAAATACTGGTAATGCCATGGTCTAGAACTGTGGTTTTCCAGAATTATTTTACAGTTAAGTAGTGGAGAGCATTGGTCATAATTCCCCTGTCATAAGCACATTTGAACTAGACTTGTGCCTCAGAAGGACAACAGACCAACTTGATGCTGCCAGGATGGTCCATTCTGATGTTCAGAAGTAGTCGTAGTGAATCAGATTGGCTTAACAGGAAATTCAGTACTGAGCTACACTGCCAAAAGGCAGTAGTACGCAGCAGGTGAAAGCTGGAAATGGCTCAGAACAAAAAATATGGAAGCACTGTCTAAGTATGTAAGGAAGATTTTAAACTAGTCTGTTTAAATCAGCTAAAGCTGAGACTTGTGCAGGATGTCAAATCACTAGTAGAGGAAAAACAGGGAAAATGTAGAACTGTTGCTGGAGTTGGCTGGTGATTTAGTATTAGTGAACACAGACTGGACTGAGGTACTCGGTGCCACCTTTGCATCAGTCTTTGCTAACTGGGTCTCCTAAAACTCTCTGCTTCGCAGCAGAGCTTAGGGAGGAAGAGAGTTGTATGCTGAAAAAACTTGCTGGAAGGAAAGGGTCTGGTTTAGTATTCTGATAATACGGCTCCCTGCTCCCCAAGCAGCCTAATTCAGAAGAGGAATGCACAGAGGATGGAAAACTCAGGGGTGCTTGCATCAGTTTCAAGTGACAAATGTTGGCATAGAAAAGCCAAACTATGTTAAAAGGAGGATGCATTAAACTTACTTGACAAACTTGGGGCAAAAATCGATGTAATCTGTTCAATTTACCCAGGTTTTAATTTAGTTGGAAATATACAGCTTCCAAAACCAGGTGATGATTTCTAAGCAGTGCATTTAATTAGCATGCTGCTGTCCAACAGCAATAAAATGCTATGCTTTGCCATGAGAACATGTACAGCTGCTTTTTTTCTGCAAATAAAGATAAAAGTGGCTAATCCAGATAAGAACTGTTACTGTGGAGAAATGGTGGCAGTGGCAAGAACGTAAAGGAATGTAAATGTCTTCAACAGTTTCTGTGGAATTTATGCACTCGGCACCTTTAAAAGCTAGCGCATCACATAACAAAGGAGGCATTAATTTAGCAGTTTATTCAGTAACAGAAATTAGTCTATGTGCTTATGGATTAACAACAGAGGAATCACACAAGAACCCTGTGTGGTAAATGAAATAGTTGCCAGCGTAACTCTTTCCGCTTTGCAGATTGTGAAATGCAAATAAATAGAATCAGTAATTTTATTCAGTAGCACTGATATGTATCAGGAATGATGCAACTAATTTTTTCTCATATAAATAAAGACTACCACTTTATTTCATCGAGGTTTTAGGGACTTTCCACAAAGGTGCAGGAGCCAATTCTATAGAATTTTCCCACTACTTTTCCTGTACAAGTGGATCATTTTCCCCTTCTACTGTACATCTTTTAGTCATGAATGCAGTCATTTCCTTAGCCATTTCTTAATGCTAAGAAGTGTTTATAATGATTTTTATAAACACTTCTTAGCATTAAGAAATGGCTACAGTGTTAGAATTGTGACTAAAGCTATAAGCAGATTCCTGAGCACACAGGCACAAATGGAGAATCTGTATAGTTAGAAAAGGGAACTCTCCCATGTGTGTATGCATCTAGGCAGTTCATTTTGCAGTTCCTTAAGTAGCAGTGGACTATCATTTGTTTTCACTTTGAATCAGGAATATCACACACAGATGCATTTCTCTTTGATACTGAGATTTTTTTTTTTCAGAAAAAAGAATCTTAGGAATAAGGTTCTTTATTGTCTTCTTTGTGCTTTGGAGAGTATGGATGAGTAAAAACTTCCTACTTCATTCAATTTTTCTCACAGTTTTCCTGGTATTTGCCCACATTACGGCTCTTGCGTTTTGGGTAACCCAAGCATTTGATATCTAAAGAAAATTAGCTGTTGGAAAGCTGTGCAGGAACTGGAGTGCATGTTCCCCAAGACAGCTCCTGAGACAATATCTGTGTGCATATCCTATGGTCTGAATTATTTTCCTGGTTTTAGGTGTCTCAGCTCCCCAGTCTCTCACACAAGCGCATACTTCTCTAAAAGCAAGGCATTTTTGAGGCACTAGCTGCAAGTTATCTAGGTTTCTGATCCAGTTAGTGATTCTTTTGAGTAAACCATTATTCTGAAGGGAAAATAAATTGCTTAGACCTGAAGCACAGAGTTTGGGATGTCTTGTTGTTGCTGTCAGAAACAAACCATTTTAGCTCCAAGAATATAAATCCTTGAGAAACACTTCTCATCTGCTGTTTTTCAATCATTGAGGTATACAAGTATATTTGAAAAGCAAAGTGCTTATGATTATATCTGCTTTTATAAGTTTAACTATAATCAACAGACCAAGAACTGAGTGCACAAGTCATTTTAGCTACATTATTTGTGGAGAATGTCTGAGAATACAGAAGTGCTTCTGACCTAGTTAAACTCCTGCTATTTTGAAAATGATTATTAAAAAGCCATCAATACTTCTCTGAGCCCACATACTCACTTGTTGCCCGGTAACCAGAAGGATGGAGCCTTCTTTCCCGTGTACCACTTGCCGGTAAATGTGATCTAGAATTAAGAGTTCACTCCAGCAGTTCTGAAGCAACTTCATTTGGTCATCAACCTGTAAAGCAGACATTGGTGGTGTTACACTGGAAACGAGTCCTACATCACACTACAGAGTCCGAAAGCTGGCTACCATGCCTCCTCCTTCAAATATCAGGATAGTCATGAGTACAGAAATGCTATCAAAAATTATTTGTTCACAAAGCTGCTATTCTCAGCTGAATAAACACAACACTGCTGAAATCATTATCTGTAAAAGGCATAGAATATTTAAGTTGATTATGTTGTGCAAAGTAATAATAGTAGAATAAGATAGTTCTGAAATGCTTGTAGCAGCATTATATTGTTTTTGGTAAAAAAGAAAAATAGCATATCCAATGCTAATGTGAACCTTCCCATCATTGGGTTCATCACTGAATCTCAGCTTTTGTAAACAGAGAAACTCTGCTGGTTCAAGACCACTAATGCTGCAACAAGCCCGAGTCAGAGCCAAGTCCCTTTCAAATGGAAAAAGTGAAAAAAAAAAACCAAAAACGGGTAAACATTCTTGGTAAGAATGGCTGTGTAAGTATGAAAAAATAAAACATAAACATGAGCTGGGTGTCTTCAGCAGGGCACAAAAGAGATGTACACAAGGCAGTGACAGACATACCACTGCCTGCACTTGTGGACAGCAGGAGCATTCTGGGCATTCTGTACAAGCAGCCTGTATTAAGTTTTTGGTATAATGCTATTTAGGATGCGCAGGATATTGGACAATAAAGGCTCTCACTAAACTGACTGTAATTGTAACTAGATAACTAGATCCAGTTTCATTCACCTAAATAACTGAAAATTGATGAAAATTTGCAGGAACATGGGGAAAAACTGTAAATCAGAGTAAACAACAGTATCGTCTGGATTTGTTCTTGCAGTGCTTACTGACTTCCTCCCTAAAAAAAAATAAAGCCTTTGACTTCAGACAGTTTTAGAAGGGTTAAAGGATGCATACGTTAATTTCGCTACAATTGAGTGGCTAGGGTGGATGTGGCAATAGCATCTATGTTGTTCAAAGGACTTTAAGAGCCTGCATTGGTAGTAACTGCTGAACAGATTTAAAATGATATAAAATAGGAGAAATAAAAAAGAAATTAGCAGAGAGTATTTGCAGTGGACACTTGCATTAAGTTTCTCGGAGACAGTTCTATTAACATAGTCTTCCAGGGGCTCTTATTTTGATTGATTTGGAGCTATGACAATGCCCAGGAAATTGTGTATGAAGAGCAGACTTGCACAAGCTGAATTAAATACTGCAGTAGGCATTTTCAAATTTGGTAATCATTTGTACAATGAATTTTTGCGTTTTATCGTTTAATACTTGTTTTCTAGTTATGTGGTACAGAAAGGGATAATGTTTATAACTAATGGATTTTCCAAGTGTCACCTATGAAAGTTAACTAGTATTTTGTCCTCATTTCCAATCACTTGCCATATGGCTCAAACTTCAGTATCTTAGACGTTCCCTTCTCTCGTTTGTCAACTAACCTTCTCCCCTGTCACAATTGTCTCCCAACTGTTCTGGTCCCGTTTTTTCTCCCTTAGATTTCTGTATCAAATTATTCCCCCTCGTTGGACTGTGCAAGGAAATGAAATCAGGAGAGAAAGGGAACAGATCAGCATGAAGCTGATGTAGAAGCACCTGTGTGCAGCACAGCCTTTTCTCCCCCACAGCCTTCGCTAGGACCTTCTCCACGACTGCAGCAGGTATCCCTGCTGGGAAATGCTTCATTCTCTCCACTGTGTTTTCTATGTTGATAGCATTTTCTGTTTGTTTTTCTCGTTTTGTTTTTCTTTTGGTATTCCAAAAGAAAAGAGAACAAAGGAAATTATTTTTAAATGTTGCCAAAATAACATATAAGGTTGCAAAAATTAATCACTACAGAATTATTTAATGCTTGTGTTAAGATTGTCTGTCCTATTCCTGTTTTTTCCAATCGGCATTTTGTTGTAGTAGAGATAGTAATGCATAGGTACAAGAAAGGCTGAATTAGTATGGGATGAAACACTCTCAATTTTGGTATTTCAAAAGTTTTACTTTGAGGTTTTGAGCATAATCTTTGAACATAATTGCTGTTCTGCCTACAGTCACAGTTAATACATGTAATCCCAGATAACACCTATAAGCCACATAGGCATGGGCAGCAGAGATGGAGGACAGAAGGTGTGGACTCTGTAGATGGATATATTACTAAGTCAGAGTAAAGCTTGTGCTATCACAAACTCAGCCTTGCTCTATCTGTATGCTGTCTGTGCCTGTGATAATTCATTTCTGTTCAGACTGCAGAGCAAGGCTGATTCTGTATTAAAAGGTATCTATTCCCCTGCCTGCAACATGTCTTTGACTAGAAAGCCAGTACAACCAAGTGACTTTTTAGCTCAGGAGTGGTCTTCTGAATTCTCCCAGTGAAACACTCACCACCAAAATGTGTGCCAGATTTGAAGTGAAGCATTTTTAGAAGGAATTGTTTAAAATTTACGGATTTTAGTACTCTTGGTTTTCTTGGTTTTTGTGTGTTCATGATCATTCTCTTCTGTGTATAACAAAGTGTTACAAAATTCAAATACATAATGCCAACATTTGATCCTAAATTAGCATTTCAGATAAAGCTACCACAGCTTACATCTGAACAAAACAAGCTGTGAGACAGTTTAAACACTGAACATCCACGTCATAACAACGAATACCTGAATAAGAGGTCAAGCATTTGATTGTATTATAAATGACATATTTCTAGCTAACCCATCTGTCTCAGCCACAGGCAGCAACTTTTGAAAACAAACTGCACTTTACAGGTCTGGCTTTCTGAAGGCCCCAACAGCAGCTAGTCTGCAATCAAAGCCTACCTCCCAAGCTTTATCATGTCATTACTGAGCCAGTGCTGTGAGAACAGTGTGAGATGGCAAAATCACAAAAAAATGTTTTGCACATAGCCTGTTCCTGCTGTTCCACAAGACTCATAAAACTAGCAACAGCGAACATCTGCTAGTAGTTCAGAAAATCTGTCTCTCTGTATTCACTGCAATTTAACCAGTGAAAGCCTATAAAATGGATATCATAAAAAGCAAAATACACATCCAAAACACAGTGTTGGCTTCAGGAAACGATTAGATCCAGCTGCTTTTGCCATTTTAAGAAAGCTGGCAGGGCAGCAAAATGCTTCCCAGTTTGTTGTAGGAAGAAACAGAGATGGCTTTGAGGAGGGTCGCAAATTAATAAAAAGGAGGAGCAATTACAGCCTACTTCTGAAAGGAGTATAGATGAGGAAAACCACATACCTCTGCTAACAGATACTGGATATAAAATAGAAAACAACACAAAACACCGAGTAAATGTGGTAACATAGCACACCTTATGCTAGGATTAGCTGGCAATCTTTAGGAAGTGTGTAACGTTATCCAGAGCACAGATGCCTTTGTGTTTCTGTGGCACACTTGTGCATAAGCATACATTGTCTGACAAAACAAAAAATTAGCGCTTGGCCACAACAAATGCATATCTTAAAATGATCTTGAAGCCAATGAGGCTTAAGCTTTGATGGATAAAGTGCAGAGTGAATCCTGAAAAGGAAGTACTTTGCAGAAAAAGCACCTTGTGGACTTCAGTTTCTGTGACTCCGAAGCCGAAGCATGCTAGTCCTCCTCCATAGTGAGGAGAAGAAAGGGTAAGATTCTGTGACCATGATGTCTTAGCTCCAGTCATTAGCTTCAGTAATCAATGTTGGTTTTGTTCATAGTATGTATTCAGTTAGAAGCAAGCCCCAAAGCTTGTACTGGTGACTAAATTTCAAGCTTTTTTGGTTTGTGGAGATTTTTGAGACTGTTATCAATTAACAGCAATAACAAAGTGCCCTTTGAAACAACTACTGAGAATGCTTATAAATAAAAATTGAGCATCATATGGCCAACAACTGGCTACTACAAGAACTCTCCCCAGATCTGCAGCTGCTCCCTGCCATAACAAACTATTGACATAAGCATAATGTAACCCATGTCTCACCTAAGCAAGCTGTCAAATGATATGTCCATTTGACAACTATGTAGCCTCAAGCAAAAACAAGAGTGAATACTGTGCTCAGATGGTTAAATTTAGGTCCTGTCTGGCCAGCGGCGTTCAGATGATGACTCTCATCGTCAGGGACAGTGTAACTGGAAGTTGTTGCTGAAAAAATGGTTTTTAAGGAAAGATGTGAAGGAAGCTAAGGAGGAAGTGTGTGACTCAAAGATAGTGTGGGATGAAAGAATAATAATGTTAAGATTGTGAAAGGAGTAAGATGTCTTACTTGTAAAACAGTGATTGGATAACAGAGGAAGCAAGGGGAGTACTTAGGAGGAGGTTGTAAAGGAAAGGGTGTTGTGCAGTGAGAGGATATGAGGGAAGTTGGACGTCAGGTAAAACCATGAAGGTGAAGATGATGAAGTTGGATATCATACAGAATTAAAGGGATTGTGTGAGAGTAAGTGAAACTGCTGGGGCAAAGAAGGAGCAAGTACTTCGTGTCAGACAAACAGAGGATGGCAGTTGTCACGAGCAGAGATGAAAATGGATATGTCTACTATCCACGCTCAAGAAGTAAGAATATTAAGGTAGAGCAAGGAGTAGCTTTCTAATAGCTTTAGTACATGATGGCATCCTATTTCAATCCTTTTTTCTTATAAGAAAATCCTATTCAACTATGATTACAGCAAGGAAAAAGAAACATGTCAGAATTTGGAGTTATCCTTGTGCTGTTTGGATTACTTGGAGCATTTTTCTCACATTACAATTGGAAGATAAATGGTCATTGTCACAGCCACCCACCACCACCAAAAAACACAACACACAAGCCTCCCTGCATCTACAAGGGTTGCTCCGAAAGTAATGCCTTCTATTTTATTAAGTTGGCCCGCAATGTCTGAAGTGGATGTTGGTGGTATGGAAGAAGAGATTGAACCTTCCCATCGATACTCCATTATGTTTTGTTGCTGTGTGACAGATGGCAGCAGAAGAGCGATCTGACAAAATGGTGTCTAACATGGAAG